TTTTTTTTTTACGCAGGGAGCGAACGTGGAGAAGGTTGGACAGAATGGGGAAGAGGTAGCGGAAGATGAAGGTGAAGGTGCAGGGCTGGAGGAAGAGGAGGAAGAAGCAGATTCGCCAAATTTAAGAGCATGGAAGAGAGACATACTGCAAAAACTGAAGAGCAAGGTTCTAGAACGCTATCAACGGGAAAAAACTACTAGAAAATTCAAGACAAATTACTGGGACCACATATATCTGTTGAGGGAGGAAAAATCTAAAACGCCAGTCGACGGTGCTCAGTGCATTCACTGCGACCAAATATTTTCCTATAAACAGGGGACATCAGGGACAAAATCATTTCTGAGGCATGTGAAGCCCTGCCTAGAAAGACACCTTATTCCTTTAAATGTAGATAAGACAGACCTGAAGGCTCCCACACCACAAATGAAATCTGCATTCGTGGTTGCTTGTGCCGAATATTGTGCAAGTGCAATGAAGCCCCCTGAAACCTTTGCCAGCCCCGGGATGCAAAACCTTGTGCAAAAGTGTCTGCAAATCGGGTATGTTATGTTGTGTAGACGATTTTAATTAACCGTTTGTCCAGAACAACCGGCACGCCGCTGGCACCGACCGGCTGCAGCTGAGATGTGAGGAAAGAAAAGGAGCTTTCCTCCTAATAACCTCCTCTCACCTGCAGCTGGTCGGCGCCGACCGCGTTCCGCACTGGAAACGGAAGTGTGTGACTGTCGCACACGACGTGTAGGTGTGCGACATTCACACACTTGCGTTTCCAGTGCGGTCGAGCTCAGTCGGACAAATATGCGATTTTGCAGAGCTCTGATATATGCCTTATTAAGCTATTGTATTTTAATGATATCGAATAATTCCTGTGAAACTGTGAAAAATATCTTCATAAATTTACAACATTTGTTGTAATTTTTATTTGCAAAATATGTTGCAAATTTGTGACAGCCCATTGTTAATTTCAAGTCGATAAAATTTCTTGTAAATTTGCAATTTTAAATTGCAATTTTACGACCCACATTATGGAAAAATTTTCCGCACACTTGCGACTATTTTTCACGGTGATACGGACATATGGTAGTATCGGTAAGATTTTCGTTTCACATTTGTTTCGCTTAACGCATCTTCCTCCCTGCTGCTCTTTTTTCGCTACGCGTTTTCTCGCCTTTTTCTTTAAAAAAATCCTACCGTCATTTTTTCCTTTTCTATCTCCATCCCCTATCAACCCACCTCTACCGCAAGTTTTCTGTCATTTTCACTAAAACCTCGACTAAATCTTAACCAGACCGTGCGTGCCTCGTGCTCGTGCCTACTTCGCGCTTTATTACTGCTTTACTTTGTTACTTCACTGCTTTTGGCTATTTATTGGAAAGCTTATTGGTTTACAGTGTAACGCATTGTATTCGTGATGTTCTTTTCTTCCTTGCCTTTCCTTTCTTAGGCATATTGCAGGGGGTGTCATTGATGCGAAACTGTTGATCTCGCATCCAACTACGGTGTCGAGGCACATTACTGAAGAGGCAGAGAAAGCCAAAGCAGAGATGTGTCTCGAAATCAAGGAGATTTTGAAAAGTCGCCTTGTTGCGGCCACCACTGATGGGTGGACCGAAAATCACACCAAGTCCAAATTGATAGCTGTGACAATCCACTTCATATCAGACAAGTGGAAAATTCAATTCCGGTAAGCGCTCTCTTGAATCCAAGTGTGCGCTTGTCACGTTGCACACTTACAGGTAGCGAATAAATTTCGTTCATGAATTTCGCGCTATTTGTATGTTTTTGTGCAAATGTTCGTTCTAAGTTTAATCTACGTTTCGTTTTTGGCGAATTTGTTCGTTGAAATGCCTGTTTTCGTACAATAGAATGCATTACAAGTTAAAATTTACGCAGAAATGTGTGCAAAAAATTTGATTGCTGCTGAGCTCCGTGCGAATTAAAGATACAAATCTTGTTAGTGTGTATATATGTGTTTTCGTCCTTTTCAGACTCTTATTGGCTGTACCACTACCTTTTGAAGAAGGCCCCACCACGGCCGAGAAGCTGAGAGCAGCACTTGATGCCGCTCTTCAAAAGTTTGAACTGGATGCCACCAAGTTGTCGTGGGTCACTGACAATGGCAGTGACATTGTCAAAGCCTTAAACGGGACTTCCCGTTTTTACTGTGCAAACCACGCGATTAACATAATTGTGCGGACTACTCTCAGCGTCAAGTACGCGGAGCTAATTCAGAGGTGAACTTTCTCGTCTTTTACTACTGCACTGGTAAATCAAGTCTTTAATTTTGCATGTCAATTGATGTTTAAGTTCAAGTGTGCATTTTCGAGACACATTGTCGTGTCTAGCTAGGTTATACGTCAATTGTTTAATCTTTAGACATCGAAAAGTATAGCAGCTGCACACCATACGGTTCCTATTGATAGCATAGAATTCTGTGTGTCCAAGTGTGCAGAATTTAAACGTTCACAAAACGTCTAAAATTTGCACACCACGGAAGTGTGCAACTTGAGTTAAACACCATGTAATGTGCAAAATCTTAACTTGCAAACGTTGGTGTGCAAATTTTGCACACTTGTTTTACCAGTGTGGTTACCGGTTACCTTTTCCAATTATAGTGTGCATCTGCCCAATTTTGGCTGATCTCTTATGAACTTCTAGGTGCATTAAAAGTAGTGCGTTGGCACAGCTCATCGTTGACGATTGCACGGCATGGGTTATTGAAGTCCGTCAAAAGATTCCATCAAAGTTCGCGTCGGCCAACGACTTGACCCTGGCTTTGACAAACCCACAAAGCCAGTCGCACATTAAAATGTTGCGCTCTGTGAGAGATGCATTCCCCCGGGTAGGTTTCAGAAAATATACAGAATGTCGACGCTTTATTATATTAAAAAACAACGTATACCACGCGCTAGACTGCAAAATAGTTGTATTTTTTACGGGACAACTGTCCTTGAAGCGTGTCGTAAAATTGCAAGTCAAAATCTTATAGCTACAAGCATTACACGTTTGGCCTCGAAATTTATCGGCGGGCAAGATTTTTTTTTTTTTTTTTAATTTTGACATAGTTTCCTAACAGTAAATTAAAAAATACATTGTTAATCTACAAGGATATTTTTCAAAGTTTAAGTTTTGATTTAATTTTGTTAAGGTTAAAGATTATCTGAAGAACGACTGCCCAGAACTGATGGTGACTACCGAGGACATCACCGATCTCATCCGGTTTCTGGGGCCTTTTGATTTGGACGGAAGCCGGGAGAAATCTGCAAGTGTGACACCCTCCCGCATACCTGCTTTGTTACACCACTGTGCTCTGGATCCGGATGACTCGGGAATGATGATCTCTCTTAAGGACACGGCTAGAGACGAATGTACAATTCTGAGGGCACTTGAAGCCATTGAGGGCTGCAAACAGGTCGTTGGGTACTTCAATAAGTCAGGGTTAAAACCCTGGCTTAAACAGGAAGGGTGCCGAACGACCAAACAAGAAATCTGCACAAGGTGGAATTCGCAGCTCGAAATGCTCGAGTCTGTGAACGATGCGTGGGACAAGGTGCGTGTTCCACACACATGCAAACACACACACAAACACACACACACACACACGTACGCACACACACGGACACGCACACACACACACCATCATTTTTCGCAAGGATCACAGCGATGCTGCCGAATTTTTCCTCCTCACACTTGTTTTCGTGTCCAGAAACAATGTCTGTTTTTTTAGGGAAAAGGGGAAACTTTAAGGACCTCCCATATTTCAGAAAAAAACTGATCAGATCTCGCCTCACAAAATAAGCAAACATTTTTTCAGGAGACCTTTTCTCAAACCAAGGCAGTTCCTCAAAGTTTTTCCTTTCCCCTCAAAAATTCAGACGTTGTTTTTACCGTGAACTGTTTCACTTTCAGATCAAAGGCTTGTTAACTTCGAAAGGGAAGAAGGGAAACGAAGTGCTGAAGGCCTTTAATGAAATTGACAAGACCGATGTGGAGGATTTAATTTCTTTTTTAGAGCCATTTGAAATCCACACAAAGGAATTGGAGGGCCATTTGCACCCCACAATTCAAAAATGTGTTCCATCCAAGTACGCCCTGCTTCTTCACTGCGAACCTGACGACGATGATACTGCCCTCATGTCTGCTATCAGAAAGAAAGCCCTAGATCTCGTCGAAGATAAAATGCAGATACAAGCGGAGCAGAAGTTGGCTTATTTTCTGTGGCCATCGATGAATGGCCTGGACGCCCTTCCAGAGGAAGAACGCAACCAGGTATTTCGTTTTAGGTCATACGAACAGTTTTTTTTAAAATATA